ATATTTCACTGTCAGCATGTGTCGCTCCTGCAGCAGCACGATGTGAAAATACTGACCTGCCTTTGGCTTTCTGACACCACTCCTCTGTCAGGATCTTCCTCTCTGCTACAGTGAGAGACAAGCTCTCCCCTGTAGTGCCATTTACTGGAAGATTAAGAGTTTTGTTTTACTCCACGTTTCACATCATATTAGTATCTTTAAATTATAATTCGACTTGACAAAATTGTTCAAAAGGGCCAAATCATGCCATTTTAAACATTTGAGAGCAAAGGTAGGCACAATGTATAATATATTATTGTTAGCACTAGTGAGATGTCGTTTATCCTAAATACGAGTTTTTTTTTCCATCAGCCTGAATTTTTACCCAGAACAGAAATTTAGCAAAGCTTTGGCCACGCTCACTCGGACAAAATGTGCCTTCAACAGCATCTTAGCAAGCTCCTGTTGTATTGGCTTTCTTTGTCTAAGTGCCTGCCTTTTGTCTCGTTTTGCCATGAGCTGATGCAGGTTCGACTCCCAGTGGCGTCTGCAGTAATTTATATAGCCAGCTGAAGCTGATTTGATGTTTTTATATATTAGATTGATAGATTATTTTCTGCAAAATATTTTGTGTCTCTAAAGATCTTTGAATTTGGTCATTTCCAAGCAGTGTTTTAGTGGATTTTCAACATGGCCCCATTAATAAAACCGAATTCCGCATTCAGAAACAAACCAACGAGAAAATTTCAGGGAAAGGCCAAAGTTCAAAACTAACTTTTAAGCTACAATTAATGAGGAGGACTTCAGCATGGCACTGGGTTAATCTTTCCTGCATCAACATAAAACTGTCTAGTTAGCAGGAAACGGGACATTCTACCAATGTGGAACAAAAGCTTGCTCTTCCTTATTTAAACGATAACGGAAATGAAATTTGCACATCTGGCAGGATGTGTGAAGATGATGAATGCCAGTTGTTCCCAGAGTTTCTAACACAATAAACACAAAATCTATAGACTTGCAAATTTGATTGGCAGCTTGGAGAGGAATTCAACATGTTCACTTACCAAATATGCCCTTTACACCTTGCTGTTCTGACAAGTAATCAATATAAGGTCCAATAACTGACAAGTTGACTTCACTGTTTAGGAAAAATAACAAATAAATGGACTTATTACTGACAGTGATTTGGTCTTTAGCAATCAGAGCCAGGATAATGAGTGGTTAAATAGTTTTAACAGCTCCTTACCCTTGAGGGGTGAATGGGGTAAAGGTAGCTGCAATGAGCCCAGCCAGCTTTCTGTATGCAGCAGGAGCCATGGTTCACAAAACTAGTCAAAACACTGGAAACGAAACAAGGAAAGAAGGGTAAGAATAGGGACACGTTCAATGAAACCACACGAAGCACTTGTTCTACATTATCTTTGGCTGTGACATCAAATTGTTTGTGACACTTTCTCAAACTGGTCAAATACAAACTGCAAACGCGCAACTATCATCGAAGATGGCTGGTCTGGCATTAAAAGTGCTGACAGATGTGGTAATAAACCATTTATTAGCACTTCTCAAAAAAACGGCCACAACCACATTACTACACAGAGTACGTTAGGGGAACAAGTTGCGAGAAAAAGTCTGAACGCATAAAGGCTAAACAGCAGGTCGTTGTTTGCTAGCATCGCCGACAAACATTCGCCTGGTCACGGAAACAGGAAACAAATCCTGCGCACTTTCTGACTTACAGCAGGAACTTGATTAAATTGGGTGTCCGTCATTCCCAGATCCAAACTAAATGGAGCGCAGCATGAATCCTTGACTTTAACAACCAGGAGCAAAGAGAAATTCTCTTGCTGCGTGAGACCACAACAACCTACGTCTGGTCTGCTATCCCAGAAAAATACAAGACCAAAGGACGTGCGCATGCCCAGACTTGCCCCAAAGTGCAAGTCTGGGCATGGCAGAAGTCCCTTCTTCTTCTTGTTTATTGGCGGGTGGCATCTAACTTCTAGGTGCATTAAAGTGGAGACTCGGATCTGAGACAGGTTCTTTCTTTCTTTCTTTCTTTCTTTCTTTCTTTCTTTCTTTCTTTCTTTCTTTCTTCGTAAACCTTAACTTATAGATGGTTTATTTTAATGTGGTTATATTTCTAAAGAGTACCACAATTTATTAAAAAATATGTATGTCAGTTTTAGACATAAAGAATGACAAACAGTATAATCAACGTTAACGCAAAACTTAATGTATGCACAAAACAGCAAAACTATATACATGAGTATTAAAATATTTGAAACGAAAGATGATAAGAACCGTCAAAAGAAATACATCCAAATCTGGAGTTATACATACATCTTAGTAGGTATTTGCCTCCTTGCGTTCTGAGCATGAAATTGTCTTTTTTGGGTGAGGAAGATGCATTTTGTACTACGAAAAACTGCAAGCACAGCATTAGACGCCCGTCACGTGAAATCATCCAAACGTCAAATGATACCGCAAGGCTTGATGGGAAATGTATTTTTTGACTTTATAATGTACCCCCCCCCCCCCCCCCCACACACACACACACACACACAAACAGAGAAAATAAAAGCAGCTTTTTAAATGGCATTGGAAGGCTACGGTCTTTAACAGTTCATGGGAGTATTTTAAAATAATAAATTACAAACTATAATTAAAAATATGAAATCAAACAGCTGTATTATATAAAAATAGACAACAGTACATGAAATGTAATTTTCATAAAAGCGCTTGCTTGTATGAGCCAATGACTGTAGATTACCTGTATAAACCAAACTTGTGGTGTGGATCGCAGTATTTCCGAGCAGCTCTTAAAGGCAGCATAAGATACATCTGATTGAGTGGACTTTTATTTCCTTTATTTTGATTTTTCAAGTTACTGCTTAGCCGGTTAATCTGCTTTTAAAATTAAGCACTTGACTCAAAAATTCAGTTGTTTTAAAGCGTATTATGTAAATTTGTTCCTTTGATTTACTTTAGAAAATCGACATAACTAAAGTAAAACTGATATCTGCGAAATTCAGCTCAGGAGAAATTATCCACGCCTCAGGAAGCGGATGTAGTTCACGTTTCCATCAAGTAGCTTCCGGTTAGTAAGACAGCTACTTTTTCGGGGAAACAGCAATTTTCGAAGACTTTTTTTATTCTGTAACACAAAATGACAGAAGAGAGAAAGGGATCGGGGTTACTTCTCAACAATGAGTACCTTTGTTTTTTAAATTTGTTTTGTATTCCAGAGCTGCGTGATGCCGCTAGCTCGGCGATTTAGCCTAGCGGGCTAATCAAATCGTCAGAAGGGTTCCGCCGCTACCTGTCAGACGGAGGAAATAATCATCTTGGTTCTTTAAAGCCATTTCAGTGGAAACGGGAGCTTTTAAGAACGGTACTTTTCACGTGAACCCATCTGGATTGCGGTTTAATTTGCTGAGATGAACAGAGAAGTGAGACATGATTGACTTAACGTTTGTGTAGATGTTATGACCGTTGGCCTGTCTGTGAAGAAAACAGGTTGTTCATTTGTAACCGAACCGTAAATAATGTAAACCGACCTGTCTTTCATTGCGTGGATCGTGTTTGTTTAGATGTTAATGTCAGACCGATCTTTGGCTGTCAACGTGTCGCATGGGTTCAGGAGACAAGTTGGAAAGGTAAACACGACCTGCTAACAGGACGTGGAACAGTTTGCACTATACGTTATTATATTTAATTTAATTTTGGGCACATCTGTAGCAGATACTTAGTGTATAATCTGGCTACTGGTAGTGACATTCCTCCTACTTCTTATTTGCACTTTTAGGTTGTTGGTGCATTAAGCCTCACAATCTATTCTGCTTCTGTTCAACTCAGATTGTGATGCAACGAAACTAGGACACTGATGATTAGCTGACACCTTGAGGTCAAAGACACTGAGATGATAAAAAAAGATCTCAGATGTTTACCTTAATGAGAGGGCGTCTATGTTGTTTCTCTTGTTTGGTTAGGGTAGTGGTGATGATTGCACACTTGCACGATGGGACTGTTAGCTGAATTGTAGTTTTATGAACATTTCTGTGATCATCCAAACAAACCGCGATGCCGCCTGTCTTATTATTGATGCTGTATGGAGCGTTATGCAGCTTTGGAACAGCTATGTTGAGAGAGGAGAAGAACAAGTTGAGGTGAGCTTCAGAAAACAAAGTCAGCTGAGAAATGTTTGTGTTGTCTAAGAAGGATTTCACATCCTTTGTTTTTTTCCTCCAAGGAATCAAGTGGTTGAGATGTTTGATCACGCATATCAGAACTATATGGTGAGGTCTCCATCCTTTCTGAATCCTAATTCAGGTTCATGAAGCCACAAAATCATAGTTTTGATTGTTTTCAAAATTCTTAAACGCCTGCTAAGAGCGTAACGATGCTATGGGATCATTTCTCTTGTGAATTTCAGCTCCAAATACATTAATTTAATATTCCTAAACAATAAAAAAAGGACAAGTGTATATTTATAGTGTATACTTGTGCGTATCCTAGGACCATGCGTACCCAGCAGACGAGCTGATGCCACTAACCTGCAGAGGAAGAGTACGTGGGCTGGAGCCGAGTCGAGGGGATGTGGACGATGCTCTTGGCAAGTAAGTTGCAAACTGCACAGTTTAGATTTGTGTTTATCAGAAAATGACCGTCTGTGTTTTACATGGTTTGGTCAATCTGGTTCACCCTGTCCAAAACTAAAGATCTACAAGCTTCACTTTGTAAAGTTTTTTCAAGTAGATCAGACTCGTACTTTGGTCAAGGATTAGTGAATTTTTTTTAATTATAATGATACAGAAACACCTTTATTTTAACAATTAACAACAAAATGATACACTCATCCTCATTTTAATGGGAAAGTCCAGCAGCAGAGTTTTTGGATTTCATTAGTACACACACTCGGTTTGAGCTTTGACTTCTATTCCTTCAGTTGTTGCTAAAAGTTAATGACTGGTGCGAATGTAACCATCTGTTGTTGACTCACCCTGCCAGGTTTTCTCTGACCCTTATCGACACTTTGGATACTTTAGTGGTGAGTGCAGTTTCTTTGTATTAAGAAAATAATCCAGTGTTTTTTTTTGGGGGGAAATAACCCAACAAAAACATTTGTAATCAAGCCGGTTCTGTTTCTCCCTGCCAGCTCCTGAATAAGACGACAGAGTTCGAGGCTGCTGTGAGGAGAGTTCTATCCGACGTGCGGTTGGACAACGACATTGTCGTGTCAGTCTTTGAAACCAACATCCGAGTCCTTGGGTGAGAATGAATTGTACTTCTAACGGTTATAAAAAGGCTAAATCACATTTCCTGTTACAAAAGAATGCAAAGGACAGAATAAATCCGTGTATTTTATTTTCTTGTTTAGGGGTTTGTTGGGAGGTCATTCCATGGCTGTGATGCTGAAGGAAGGCAGGCAGCACATGCAGTGGTACCAGGATGAGCTCCTGAATATGGCCAAAGACCTGGGACTCCGACTGCTGCCGGCCTTCAACACCAGCAGCGGCCTGCCTTATCCCAGGGTAAGACACACATCAACAGGGATCTATGTTACAGTTCAGCTTTCGCACACCACAACGTCTCTGTTCCTTTCCGGTACTGCGCTGCTCTAGGTGGCTGCATGTTGGAGTAGCTCTGTTGACTATATGTAAGTTTTGTCTTTTCTTGGACGTTTTTTCTTCTAGTTTCTCAAGAAAAAACGGTATTTTTTGGACACTTTACTTTTCTGTTTCTGGTGCTGTGAAGATTGGGGGATTTTTACTGCTATTTTTTAGCTTTTTCACTTTTTGAGCATTTGTTATGATGCGTAACCATGGCAACAAGCAGGTTTACAATCAGGAGCAGCTGATTAACATTGGAAAGGCAGAAATAATACCTCAACTGAAACCACAAATCCCAAATGAGCTAAAACGCAAGAAGCGTGGGTGCAGAGCGGGAGCAAAACGGAGACAGAGAGGAAATTCAAACCATCTCTTCCATCGATCATAATGGGCAATGTGAGACCACTGGCCAACAAGATGGAGGAACTCCAAGCCCTTTCAAGGACTCAGCCAGAGTTTCGACAGTTTCGGAACCGCTGGAGGAGATAATGCAAAGAAGGATTCTCCAGAGAATCAAGAAAATGATGGACAACCCTGAGCGTTCTCTTCACAAGACTGTCCGACAACGGAAGAGTGTCTTCAGTCAGAGGCTTCTTCAGTTTCGCTGCAACACTGACCGCTACTGGAGATCCTTCCTGCCAACAGCCATTGTAATATACAATAACTCTTTGATGACTTGATTATTATTATTATTATTCTGAGCTACTACAGCAATCAATTTCCCTCTGGGATTAATAAAGTATTTTTGAATTGAATTTGAATTTTCATGATTTGATGTGACGTGACGCCAACAATGTTCTGTTTAGAGCAGGAAAAGCTCTTGTTCCGATTGTGGGAGAGTAGCTGCTCTCATAGCCGTTGTGGCTGCGTATTATTAGGAAGGATCAGTGAAAACAAAGCCCCATCTGTTTGTTAAAATGGCCCAGATTTATCATCCTGTAGAGAAACATTCCTGCTGCCTAAAGCTGTTATCTGCATTTCCTTGCAGGACTGTCAGATCAAAATGGAACATTTCCAGTTTTTTTCTGCTTCGCTGCTCTGCTTGAAGCTGTCGAAGCTTTTATCTGAAGAGATTTGCAAATCACATCTGCCTCATAATGGACGCTTGGTGTTTATTTTTTCTTCTTCTTTCTGTGTTTACAAGGTGAACTTGAAACATGGAGTGAGGGGTCCTGAGACACGCACGGGCACAGAAACAGACACATGCACCGCGTGTGCAGGGACCATGATCCTGGAGTTTGCTGCCTTAAGTCGTTTCACCGGGGACCCTGTGTTTGAGGTACCTTGTTACGTCATTCTCCCAGGTTTACAGTGAAGTTTTACTCATCGTCCAGCACGTTGACAAATTTACATTCAAGTCTAATACAAAGTTATTAAAGAGTTAAAAAGTCCTACAGGTATTTGCACAGACGGTATCAAACAGCCACACCCCGAAAGTGACTCAGGTTCCCTTTGGATCAGGTTTGCAGTGTGTTGTTTTTCTGATTCCTTCATTGTGAAATGAGATCTGAATATCTTATCTAACATCTGACTCATGTTCTCAGTCATTACTGGATTTCCAGTAATCAGATATGTAGATTTAGATGGATTTAGCCATCGTTTTTGCTTCAAGACCTGTGTGCAGACTAAAAATCTGTCTTCATCGTAGGTGTTGGGAGATCCTGGCAAACATGTTGACTCTTACGTCTATTTAAACAGCAGTATGGCTGGAACGGGCCTTTGGGTGTAAATTAAAAGCAAGGGTTTCTGTTGTAGGGTGGTAAAAGTGCAAAAGAGGAGTTTATTTTTTATAAAATATTAAAGGAGGAAGTGAGCGGCCTGCTGAAAGCACCTTGTGGCTTGTTTCTCATAGTTGTAACTCTCAAGATCAAAGCTGGTTCTTATGAAACCATTTTTATGGTCAAAAATGAATGTCTCACCTTTGTGACTTGTTTTAGTTATCTGACTGTTTGATGCAACACTGGTTCGGGTGCAGACGGGTTTACAGCAGCTTAATCAAATATTTGATGAGATAAAAGCGTTTCACCACCTCCCTTTTTCCTTAGAGAAGAACGGAGTACAAACATATAAAGCTCCATGTTATTTATCGCTCTGTTTTCAGCACATTAATGGTAGCTCTTTTGTTCTGCTAGATTTAGCTGGACAAGCTGTTTTCCTTCTGCAGCTTTGACATGTTGCATCAGAAAATGCATGTAAACAAAGTGATGAAACTTTTAAAGCACCAAGAGCTTGGCTCATGACTGAAGGGATCGTTCACCAGAATGCTTTACGTTTGCTTTTTTATTTTACACTTGAGACTTAACCGTGTGTCTGTAGCTGTAGTTGGATTAAATACAGATGTCTTTATTTCTTGGAAAATATTTACATTGGTGTTACCGATGAAGCCAATATGTTACTGGTTAAGATCCATTTGGATAAAATAATTCAACTAGATGTAAGGATTTTTCAATTTATTTATTTATTTTTGTTATTCTTTGTTTTTTAGTTATTTACCCAGAAAACAGTCTCTTTGCATTCATTTATTCCTGCTCTTTTATTTACACATTTTTCTGTTGTTATTCTACCCGCACACGCTCGTCTTTACATGCAGTTTCCCGTTCTCTGTAAATACTCTACCATCTTTTTTATCCACACGGTATTTTAATATTTTATTTGTTGAAATGTTCAGCATTTAGAATTTTTAATATTTAGAATAGTTTAAGTATTTCTGTGTTATGTTTAATTGTGATTTACTCATTATGTTTTGTTTTTTACTCTCCTTTTTGCTCCTATAATGAATGCAATTGCTGCTGTGGCACCAACGCGTCATTACAGAAGGGGAAATAAATGGCTATTCTAGGGATGTAAGAAAATATCGATAATATGGCAATATATCGTGATATTTTTTCCAGCAATATTATATCGATATTCAAAAACCGTGTATCGGACATATCGACATGGCAATATATTGCAATATTTTTTCCTGCGATTATTGCATCGATATTCAAAAGCCGTGTATCTAATTCTTGAAAGAATTTACATGCAAACTTTTGTGTATTTTCTTTTCGTTTTGTGCAATTCAATCGCCACCCGCTAGTTGGCAGCAGTGAGCAACGGGTTTTGTTTCCACCATTGAACTGTAAATCCCTCCATCATGGTTCAGGTACCTCATGTTAAACATGTTGCGTATTAGTTTGGACTGTTTATTGAACATTCTTACAATAAATTCAGTAAAAAAAATTGCTTGTAACATCTGACTGTATGTATCGCAATATATCGTGATTTATCGTATCGTCTCCCCTGTATCGTGATGTGTATCGTATCGCCAGAATTTCCAAAATACACATCCCTGAGCTATTCTATTCTATTCTATTCTATTCTATTCTATTCTATTCTATTCTATTCTATTCTATTCTATATTACATTTAGACACTTGATAATACCCTGATTGATGCAAACTGCTGACCAAGCACAGAAGCAGCCAATAATCACGGGGCTGCTGCAGACTGGTTATTGCTTTTTAAGTCTGACTCTCTTCCTCACACACAGGAGCATGCCCGCAGAGCCTTGGACTTCCTGTGGGAGAAGCGACAGAGGAACAGCAATCTGGTGGGAACAACCATCAACATCCACTCAGGAGAGTGGGTCAGAAGAGGTGAGAGTGCAGAGACACGGAGGATGATGAGAGGTTGGAGTGAAAGATGAAGGTGACACAGAGGGTGAATGAGTGCAAACAGACCCCAAGTCTCATGGTTTCTCTTGTGACATCATGAGATGATGGATTGTTTTGATGCTTGCAGACAGTGGAGTTGGAGCAGGAATTGACTCGTATTATGAATACCTGCTAAAGGCCTACGTCCTCCTGGGAGATGACGAGTTTCTACAGAGGTTCAATACCGTGAGGACACACACATCCGTACACAATTTCATTCTGACACATATTTAAGGCCCTGAAACATTGGTTCTTTATTAGCTCCCTATCCTTTCTGATGGAGTGGAAAATGTGGCTGTTGTTTATTTTTTGTTTAAATGTTATTTTATATATTTTTACTGTCACTTCTGCTCAAACATCCTCAGTTTTTCAGCATTAAGCTCTTAATAAATAATTCATCAGTTATCGATTGCTTCTTGCTTTGCAATAAATATTTAATAATGCAAAAAAATACAGATGAAGGGTTGTGGTCTTCAGGTTTTCAGGTGCATCGAGCCCTCCGGCTCATGAACGTCAGATCATGTAGAGCCTCAAACTCTATATTTATAAAACCTGAGCTAGCTTTACTCTGCTATGTTTCTTTTAGCACTATGCATCTATAATGAAGTACATCAGCCAGCCTCCTCTGCTGCTGGACGTCCACATCCACAAACCTCTGCTTCCTGCTCGCACCTGGATGGACTCTCTGCTGGCCTTCTTCCCTGGACTGCAGGTCGGACTAGACGGGACGATGTGACGCGTTTACTGCTTTTATCAACTCCTTCACCGTTTCAGTAACTCTTATCGTTTATGTCTCAGGTGTTAAAGGGAGATATCCGTCCTGCCATCGAAACTCATGAGATGTTGTACCAAGTCACCAAAAAACACAACTTCCTCCCAGAGGTAATTTGTCTGAGTAATGGGCCGGAAGGTAGTTCGTCTTCAGTTGTAACGGCAGCAAAAAGACAACAACTTTGGAGTTTGACTGGATCTGTTAGAATGACACAGAAATGAGCAAGCGCGTGTTTCCCGCTAGTTTTCAGATTTGGCCGTTGTTCCTCATAGTGTCGACTGTCATGCCCTTCTCTGTCTGTCCTCAGGCCTTCACTACTGATTTCAGGGTACACTGGGCTCAACATCCCCTGAGGCCTGAGTTTGCAGAGAGCACCTATTTCCTTTATAAGGTAATTTATCAAGTAGCTAACATAATGTGTCACCTCTCTTTTCACTGCTGCAGCACAGAGGCACATGTCCAGTATCAAGCATCACTTGCAGATGCTGCTGCTCACATTTGAAATTTTATCTTAATTCTGGAAAATTCTACAAAACTCATCGTCAGTCATTTCACTTTCTGTAATAATAATAATAATAATAATAATAATAATAATAATAATTGTAGTGACTATCAAGTCCCACTTTTAGTCACCCTTGGGTGCGGGTGGAGGCAATGACTCACTTCAACAATATTGTCCAGGCAGAAAGCAGGTTTGGGTTTATTGTCCCATTTATTGAATATGTTGACGATCACAAGCTGGGTCCAGATTGGCTATTTCTTGTCCAGGTTTATGTAAACGCTGAAAATTATAACGGCAAATTAGATGTGGCATATGAAACCAAACGAAGCGGTAAAAACCGTGTGACCTCCCGTCACCCACAAAACGCCAGTGCACTGCAGCCTCAACACCTTTATAGGCTCCGCAGTGCCACCAGTGGTTAAAGGAAATACAAACCATAGTGCAATAAACTGAAATGTACATAAAACATTCTCAAAATAAACTTAGACCATAATATAATCTAAACCAAGACAACATTGGCTCCTACAATAATAATAATAATAATAAAACCTCTTGTAGTGAAACCACCGTTCTGATCTTGTGACTGAAGAAGCATGTTGTCTCTGTCGGTCCTTCCACCCTGTCAGGCCACAGGAGACCCGTACTACCTGGAGGCAGGCCGCACCATCCTGGACAACCTCAACCGCTTTGCTCGCGTGCCTTGTGGGTTTGCTGCAATGAAGGATGTTCGCACAGGAAGCCACGAGGATCGGTCAGTATGAAAACATATCGTATCGTAACAGGAGACGTGGTAGTTGGAGCATGTAGACATGCATTTGTCCTTATTTCTTTTAGAATGGACTCCTTCTTCCTTGCTGAGATGTTTAAATACCTCTTCCTGCTGTTTGCTGAGACAGATGACCTCCCTTTTGATGTAGAAGACTATGTCTTCACCACTGAGGCACACTTACTGCCTCTTTCTCTCTCCACCTCACCTTACTCCTCACCCATCGCCTCCAACAGAACTGTAAACAGTTTCTTTCGGTTCCAAATCTAAAGCATTAAGGCTTTTCAGGTGCTGATAGAAGGTGTTCTCACTCTTTAGACGGACGAGGAGCTGGATGACTCCAACTTTGATTGGACGTGTCCAAACACACGGCTCCTGTTTCCAGACCCCGCCTTTCCTCGTAACTTGAGAGAACCGATCCGTGGTGTAGTTGATAAAAGCTGCCCGCGGCCTGCCCCTTACAGGTATGTGCCCTTACAGGTTTGACAAAGAGCTCAGACGGATCCGTCGTGCCCCTTCTGTTCTTCTTTGAAACTGTTAGTTCATCTTCCCTCTCTTTTTCAATAAAGGTTTTGTGTAAAACCTTTTAAAATGACCATTTTGCCGCCTATCCCTCCTCTCAGGGAACCGGGTATGGGCCGTCCACCTCTCAGGGCTCAAGACTTCATGGCAAACAACCCTGAACATCTGGAGCTGCTGAGGAGGATGGGAGTCAGTCTCATCCACCTGAAAGATGGCAGAGTGCAGCTTGTCCAGCATGCTACTCAGGTTAACTTAAGCCGGGCGTACACTGCGACTTTTTCACTTTTTTGAGCCGATTTTCCACTCGTGCGAGAATCCACGAGATCGGGACGAGTTTTGCGTCGAGCGTGGTGTCGTGTACAGGGGGTTACGAGAGGCGATTAACACCACGTGACCAGCTACCGATCAGCAGTCGTGAGCTCGCATGGACTTCTGGCGTGTTTAATATTTCGCTCGTCCCTCGTGAGGGTATCGCACTGTTGAAGCGGCGCTGCGAGCAGCTGCGACCCAAAAAGTATCAGAACCGCTCACGGCGCATGCGCAATCCTGCATCAACACCACTCGCCCGCTATTTCCCTAATAACACACGTTGTTCGTTTTAGTTTCTACACGTTTTTTTACTGACAAAGATTGTCAAGAAAGCGTGTTTGTCGTGTTCATGTCAAATTAAACTGATCACAAAACACAGATTTACTTTCTTTATTTTGTTTTCCTCATCCAACCCCCATAAATCCCTGTGTGTCCTCCTGCAGCACTCCCGAAGGACAACAGGCAAAACAAGACAAAAAAGTCTGACATGTTGAGTAAAAACTGCTATTTTTAGCATATTTTTAGGGCCGACGTGTTGCTACCAGACGTACAGTGTGAGCAGTCAGGTCGCATCCGAGAACTGGGTCGTGCAGTGTGAGCGCACGACTCGTGAGATCTGCTCTGCGAGGACGTCGCACAGTGTGAGCTGAAGCTGAGTGCTACAAGTGAAAAAGTCGCACAGTGTCCGCCCGGCTTTACAGAAAATACACACGACATGAAGGATTCTCACAAACAAAATAAACATGTCTGGATTTAATAATTACATAGTAGTTTTCACCTTCAGGAGGACATGCCTTGTTTCTGGTCTTGTTTGGGGTCTTTTAAAGCTTTCCTCTCCGTCTCTCCTCCACCCAGGCGGTGAGCGCTGTAGCAGCAGAGGATGGTGTGAGATTCATGCAGGAGATGATGGAGCTGTCCAGCCAGCAGCAGAAAGAGCAGCTGCCTCCCAGAGCTATCCAGATCGTCTCCCATCCGTTCTTTGGCAGGGTGGTGCTGACCGCAGGTCCAGCACAGTTTGGCACAGACCTGTCCAAGAGTGCTACTGGGGTGAGTCCAAAACCAGAATTCAACATTAGGCCACGGTACCGTCTGTAGTTTTATAACTGTGTGTGTTTCTTCCAGGTTCGAGGCTTCGTGACAGTGGCTGAGCCTTACAGAGGCTGCTCTGAGATCACCAACGCCGAGTACGTTCAAGGCCACATCGCTCTGCTGCAGAGGGGTCAGTGTATGTTTGCTGAGAAGGCCCGACACATCCAGAAGGCCGGCGCCATCGGGGGCATAGTCATTGGTCAGTGTGGACAGCAAACGACACAAGACGAGATTAGAGCTCAATAACCAGATCACCTCGTAGACATTCAGCCTATAGAGTCCGTCTCACAACACTGAACTGTTCAACAGATCTTCTGGTTTAAATATAGATTATTTACTTTAATATTAAATATTTTAGCTAAACTCCTGAAACGGTAAATAAAAGGCAGCAATTACAACCAGAGATGGGAAGTGTGGCATCAACACGTCATCTCCAAGCCATGTTTTTCTTCAGCTCAACAACTAAACCAGGTGATTTCCATCAGCACAGTGAAGGAACCTGGTCCAGTTGCTGAGCAGAACAAAAACTCGGCATGGAGATGACGTGTTGATGCCACACTTCCCATCTCTGGTTTCAACCGTTAATGGAACTGGTGTGTTAACACCCTTTTGTGTGTTTTGCCTTCCTTCCTTCCAGACGACAACGAGGGCAGCAGCAGCGACACGGCTCCCCTGTTTCAGATGGCCGGAGACGGCCGCAGCACGGATGACATCACTCTGCCGCTCCTTTTCCTCTTCCACAAGGAGGGCAACATCCTGTTGGAGGCGCTGAAGGAGTACAGGGAGGTGGAGGTGCTGCTGAGTGACAAAGCCAGAGACAGAGGTGAGTGAATTGGGTGTCTTTAGTAAGTGAAAGAGGAATGATTCAGAATTTATTTGAAGCCACCTGTAGTTAAAATGAGGTAATGCTGTCAGATCTTTACACTTCTCTCTTTATTTCCCCTCTTCTTACCGTTTATGTCCGTCTCTTCTCTCATGGTTTCTTCTCCTTAATTATTAACCTTTGGATGAACAGCAGCCATATTTAAAGGTAAACCTCTTCCTGGAAGCCTGATTGAGGGCAGTAAGTATTTTCCCTTTTCCCTCCACTTCCATTATCTACATCCTTTCTTTCCCCCTTAAAGTTTCCCCATTTGTTTCCTTCTGCCTCTCATCCCCTTCTAATCACATCCTTCTGTTGTAGGAAGCTCTTGCATCACTGTCATGTATTCCCTCTCCCCTGGAGCTTTTGGTGACTCCATCTTTTATATAACAAGGCATGATGTAGCATGTATGCATTTTCTGTTATTAATAGCTAACACATAGATGTCTAAACAGGTTAATAATCAGCATGGTTAGGGTTCACTCCTCCTGCTGCTTGCAGACATTTGTGATTAATGGCCAGTTTTTGTAACCATAAACCATCCGCACAGCTTGGCGACCAGATATCAAGCACCTGTCTGAATCTGAACGGTGAAAGCTGCGGTTGTAGTTTCAGCAGTCCTGAGTGAAGTCTTTGTGGTGCTGACTTGGAAAAGCTCCGATCCATCCGGTCACTCTTTATTTTTTACGAACGGAACGAAACTCTCATTTGTTCTTGCCAGGTCTGTTTAAATTCACAGCGTGCCGTTTTATTTTTGCCAGAATCCGTTTGTCAGTCGACTCCGTTTGGCTGCACAGCGATGTGAGGAAGGTTTTATCCTGTGGGAAACATGACTCACAGTCAGCACCATGCTGGTATAGCTGACAGTCTCTCCATGAAAACTGTTCTATTTTTGAACTAGAGTGACGACCAGGAGAAGTGTGTATATTACTGACTGAGGAGAAAAAGAGCCCCCTCTTGTGTGTAGGTGTGTGTGATCCTTGTACACCTTTTATATTAAGCTGTTGATCACCCCCCCCCCCCCCACTTCCTCTTTCAGGTGTAGACGTACAAGAAGCAGAGGAGGACTGTCAAACTGAGGCAACGACTCCCACTTCATTTGAACCTGTTAGTCAGTCACAGATCAGCACCGTGGAGCTGGATGAGTCAGCTGCTGAGGAGGTCTCTCCTGCGCAGGAGGAGATCAGCCCGGCTACTACTGCAGAGGAAGCACCACAAGAGGAAGTTAGTCCTGTTGAGCAGCAAGCTGATTCGGCTCAGCCTAAGGAGGAAAGAGACGAGAAGAGAGACTCTGAGGAGACAAAAGAGCCTCGTGATGACACGGACTCAAACAGCCAATCAGTGGATGAGATGCTTGCTGATTGGCGGGAAGACCTGGAGGCTTTCAGGCAGATGGAGAAGGATGAGCTCTGACAGTCTTTGGGCTCATCGTGCTCTCTGACTGTGGGTTTACCTCCCTCCGCATGGGGAGACACCTGGGGGGTGTATAGTCTCACGTCACCAGTCTCCATCTGATGAACTCTGAGGAAGCTGTGATAACGGTTTACATCGTCCCCTCTGTGAAGGTTGTCACGCACAAAGGCAGCCTACGCGCTGTCCTTAGGTAGACGAGGAATCAAAGAGCTGCCTTTTCTGTGTGTGAGACGACGTATCGACCCACACAGGACCGCTCAGAGTCAGACCAGACGCAGCGCCTCACCCTCGAGTTTGTTTCCTCACTTTGTGGTTCTCTATGCATTTCTGACTCGTTTTGATGCCGGTCCAACTACTTTTTTCACTCATTAATCCATCGACCAATTAGTTTCATTCAATGTGAAGCTGGTGTGTTATTTAGTATTTGAATGGGCTTGGGTATAATCTGATGTACACCTTGAGAAGCAAGAATTTCATGAATGCGGGGGGGGGGGGGGGGAGTTATTTTTATGTGTTGATGGTGGACAAAAAAACTCAACACCAATAGTCTTATCGTCTCCGGAGGACATATGAGATATGTGTAAATATTTATTTATCCAGATACATGAACTGAAGCAATTCGGTGCTGCTCAGGTTCTGGCGCCTGTGGACCTTATTGGAGCACACACACCCTGGAATGGGCCGGAGTACACGTCCGTCCTCAGGGTGGTGCTGTTAGATCTATTTATTATGCTGACTTGAACGACCAGCAGTCAACCAGTGATCTGATGAAATTCAATAAAGACGGGGAAAAATAAGTGGGGTGGATTATCCTAATGATTTAAATTTTGTGGAATTTTAGAACTGAAAGTTTATTTTTGTATTTTTGCTTCTCAGCTGAATGGAAAACAAAGAGAAGCTTATAAACTTGTTAAATGTGTATCTTCGCTAAATATGGTTGGCTTGAGTCAAACTAAGGAAGATGGAGAAAGCTGTCAGTTTTTAGAGGTCATGGTTAACATGCATGTTGACTTAGAAGAGATGAGAATGTTTTGAGTCAAACCTGGAGATTATAAAGTCAGATCTTTTCTATAAACAGTGGGTGGACACCTGCGTCAATCACATGAGTCAACACGACGGATATGTAATTGAAATATTCTCGTGTAACGTGGCATTACTGTCAGAACGATTGCAGCTGCTGCGCAAACTTCAGTTAAAAGATGGACATGTAAAAAGTAATAAAGTCTTCTGAACATCTGGGGATTGTTTTAACTCTTGTGGGGCTAGCTTTAGAGTGCATGCAGTATGCAGCATTAATGCAACAGGAGCATTAGCACAAAGTGTTATTAAAGTAAAAACTGAATATATTGAATACTAGATTGGGTTGCTTAAATAAATTTAATTTGACCTTGGCTGCAAATATGTTGCCATAGATGGCATGCACATTATAATTTATATTTCAATGACTGACAAAAAGAAGCTAATCTGCCAGAATAAATTGTAAGATTTACTTGTCTGATCACATTTGCACAACTTTTATGGCTTTTAGATTTGCTTCTATGTTTTTAATTTCCTGATTTTTTTTGTCAAAAAATAGAGTACCTAATGTTTAGTTAGGAAAAAAGTATTTTTTGCATGCATTAGTTTATTTAATTAAGCTATTTGTGTCACATTTTGTGTTTAATTGATGTGCAGCACGTAATTCAGTCGCTTTTTAGTTTGAGGTGCCTACGTGTGAAAGGTGATGAGATCCGAGCCTCGGCTCTGCTCCTGGAGGGCCTCTGTTGGCCCCGCAGGGACCAGAACCTCGGCTCGGTTCGAGCGCTGATTGGTGGTGTGGCGAGGCGCTCTTCAGTAAGATGGCTGCATTGCTGCGCGCATTTAGTGGCATCCTGGTGAAATGACGCACAGTTTACGTTCAGTCCTCGCGGCTCGCAGCTCTCCAGTCTCCATAGCTCCCATCCCGCCCGGCACACGGCCCGGAAGACCGAGCCGCTACCCTCAAGTGGACCGAGCGGAACCGGTTCATCAGAGTAAGTAGCAGCCAGAGTTACTTTCCTTTCGTTTACCGTGTTTTTTTTTCTTCTTAGGCTCCGGTTGGAACCACGTTCCTCCGGCTCGTGTTTCCTGACTGAACCGCGTCTAACCCGGTTCCCCCACACACCGCTTCTGCCCGTGTTTTGTTTTCGCTGCGACACTTTCGAAGGTTCTTATTTCTTTACATTTACTGTTTTCAGTCATTATTGAGACAAGTGGGGCATGTTTTTGTCTCCTTTGGACCGTGGCTCGGTTCGGGCAACGTTGGTTCAGCGGCTCGTTTTGAAATTTTCCACACACCCTGGTTAGCTGTGCCATCCCGTCTCCCCGCGGCTCCCTCTCCGCTCTGAGGCCGTTTGTTTTCGGACAAACGCCTCATAGAGGTGAGCCCCGCTCTGGCCGAGGCTACGGGGCCGTTTGTGAGAATTTAACTACAAACCCACACGGAGATACTTTTAGCTCCAGCTGCCCCCGGGTTCTGCTCTGCCCTGTTGGGGGAAACAAAGCGTCTAGTGTTCCCTCTTAGCGCAGCTGGACACAGCTGTTGGAGCGGGGAGAGGTTCGAGTCCGGGGATGGGGTCCATGGCCCCCAGATGTGTCAGTTACCCCTTTAGCTCTGTTGTTTTCAGGAAAAAATAATCTTTATATTTTTACATTTTGCCTACTATATCAATAACATCACTATTATATACGCCACAGCTGTATACATTGCATACAACTGACTTATTGCTTCATAGTGTTGTGATATTATTTTTTAAATATCTCCATCCAATCAGGGAAACACCCCACTGGCTGGAACAGATGGGGGGGGGGGGGGGGGGGGGGTGCAGTTGTTGATAGGGGACACATTTCTGTGTAACACCTGTCACAGGTCAGGAGCTTCTCTTGTAGTCTTGGTTTGTCCCACATCACTTAAGGCATCACAGCAGCTGCTGTTAGATTTGAATAGGCAGCAGCTTTTACAGATTATTAGCAGACTCAATAATCATCTTCTGCTCTCCACCACCAAAGGAATCCTGAAATTCCTTAACTTCCGGATTTTAAGTGTAGTCTCCATCTACTGCAGGTTTAGAGGTTTTATTTGTAGATTGTGCAGCGTTCTGGTGTGAAAGTAGGCTGATGTGGTCAGTGCGTAAACACTTGTCACCACCAGCAGCTGACATCAGGGTTGATATAGCCCCCATCTTGTCTTCCTCGTGTGTGTGTGTGTGTATGTATGTGTGTGCGTGCGTGCTTGTTTATCACATATGGCTTTTTGATCCAGCGTTGACCAGAAAGCACAAACCTCTCCTCCTCACACAGGAGGAGCTATTTTTAGCATGCCCCCTCCCTCCTTTTTCCTCATCCTCTCAATCATCAACATCATCTGCCCCTTTGCTCTCCTTAACCCCTCAGCTGATGAAAAGCAGTTTGGATGAGCGTGTGGCCCATTGTTGGTGTCATCATTCAGCATTTGCAAAGTCACTGTGAAGGTTTCCATGGTTACCAGGATGTCTCCTTCATCCGTGGGCGTGGGGAGGGAGTTCCCCCCTAGTGTCTTTCATCGAGTTTGTATGTGCTGTGCAGTCTCTCTCTCTCTCTCTCTCTCTCTCTCTCTCTCTCTCTCTCTCTCTCTCTCTCTCTCTCTCTCTCTCTCTCTCTCTCTCTCGCTCTGTGTGTGTGTGTGCCATCAGGTGTGATGAGGTAGTCTATTGCAGTGCAGAAAGCACAAGGCCAGCGCAACACGATCGCTCCGTTTTGTTCGACTGAGGGCATCGCCGGACCATCAAGCTGACTCCCCTGATTGAATAATGGTCAGAGCTCCAGGAGCAAATGTAAAAAAAAAAAAAGTGCATGTAATGAGCCTTTTTCTGTTGTGGTGTTTAGGTTTCCACATGTCTGCGCTGCATCAGACGCCCTGATAGGCGGCTGTGTCAGTGCTGTCGGGTTCTCTTTTCTGACCGTGTGGCGTTCGTGTCAGCAGGAGCTGGCGTTTCTTCTTTCTGTGCTTGTGTCACATGACGAAGCAGCGTCGCTCGGAGTGTCTCTCTGACTGTGTTTACAGTTCAGCTCACGTTCAGAGTCCAGCTGGAGCAGCCAGAGGCGTGGAGCAGTATTGATTATGAATGTTTTCGTTTGACATTTTCTTACTGGTCATTTCTGCTTCTCTATCTTTTACTGGCTCTGTTGTAACTAGTAGCATCTGTTTGCTTTACCCGCCTGTTTCCTGATAGAGTTCAGCTAAATATTCACTGCAGGTTAAACATAGCTGTGAAAGAAAAACGAAATGAGCAGAGGGAGACAACAACTTCAACACTTCTGTCATCTTCCGAAGAAAGAAATAAAGCCAGTCATGTTAGGCGTGTTGTTACTTTTTTAACTTTTTAAAGCTAGCTTTTTTTTTTCTTTCAATGCATGTGCAGCGGTCTCTAATGTGAGTTATTCTCAGTGGGGAACAAAAGCTCTGGCTCTCTTGAATCAGGAAGTAGAAGTTAGCTGGAGATGAATATTTATGATATTCTGACATCTCGCCTCTAATTGGCTAACACCAATGCAACTCTTCCGTTTTGATGTTTTATCTCCACAAATAACACAAGCCTGAAGGAGTTCTGCTGTGTTGTGGAGTTGCTAATGCTAACAGTTAGCTTCTACTTGCCGAGACGTGCTCTGCTGTCTCCTGGCTGCAAAAATTAACAGCAACCGTGCCCGATGATGGGCGAGTCCATGAATGCTAATTTTCTGTGTGGCATAGATCTTTGTGACTTTTCCTGACTCAAGCGTTTCCCTGTCTATTTTCTATTGGTGGCTAATCCAGGAAGTAGGGGTGGAAGACTACTTTCACATTCCGCCTGCATCTGAAACTCAGAGTGACCGATCATATTTCAAAAATAACAAGTAAACTAAACGGTTGCTCTTTGGAATGATTCAAACCAGATGGGAAACTACTTATTTCTGAGTTTAAATAGCTTCTTAATCCAATAAAATATGATCCATCATTCAGTTACTTAAACCTAATTAATTAAATTCCTTTGATTCCTGGAAGGAATGCATGTTGCGGTCTGCCTTTATGCTCAAGTTAAAACTGTGATCATCATAAGTTGACAAATACACGCATACTTACTAGGGATGCACCGATGGATCGGCATTTGATCCCAATCGGCCGATAGCGCCCCTATCGGTTTTGATCGGAGTTTTCAAAATAGATCAAAGCAGACCGATCAGACCATTTTAGATTAGGTTACATTCCCTTTATTCCCAGATTATGTAGTTTGTAGAAAATTTCTGGCCAATCCACGTGATCGGTATCGGTGATCAGCATTCTTTGATATCGGTATCGGTGATCGGCATTCTTTGATATCGGTATCGGTGATCGGCAGCAAAAAACCTGATCGGTGCATCCCTAATACATACACACACACACGCACACACATGCACGTGCACAGTGCACCTTGGAGAAATTAGTGATTACAAATCAACAATGCAGTAGTGATATAATTACAGATATTTACCACAGTTATTAATTTTAAATATTTGAATTTCTGCTATATTTCTAATTATAGTGATGATGTGTGTTTTCTTTTTTTATGTGTTTACAGCAGTCATCCTACATTCTGTAAGTGTTTTATTTACGTTCTGTCTGCTGAAAAATAAAATCCTCAGGAGCTGGAGCACACAAATTAGGAGATAATATTCAGCGAGAGTTTATATGAGCAGCTGTGAAACCATTGGACATAAACACTTGAGCTAACCAGACAGACCAGATGGAGATGAATGCTGTGGATGTTTTGGAACAAAAGCAGATTAATTCATCACCAAAAAAAAAGATCTTTTTAGGTTTATTAAGCTGCTTTTTAGAGACAGAAATCCTCTGAGGTGACTTTGCATTAAAAAGAATAATTCAATATTAATAAACTGAGAATGACTTCCCACGTTGAACAAGTACACGCCTGTGTTTCGTTTCACATATGTGGTAGAGCCAGAGACTGTAGAAAGAGAACGTCTGCAGATACGCCACCAGCCATGTGAAACGCGGCTTCATCTGCAGCTCCTCGCCGAAAGGCTGGACCAGTCAAACATTTTAGCGTGTTTTCTTTCGCACACTAACTCTCCCTCTGCCTTTCGCTCTCGTCTGAAATGGCTCTTACAATTATCCTGCAATGTGCTTGCCAATTACGCATACACTGAGATTTATTTTCTTCTGCTGCGGTGATTACTAATGAATATTAATGTGGGTATTTTCTCATTTTGCAGCTCGTGGGTTGGTTTGTTAGCAATTCAGATGGATCTGGGTCTGGGTTAGGAAATGTAAACAAGTCTGACCTTGCGTGGATGCGGTGTGCTGGGCTGGGCCCGCTGTGCCAGCCTTGCAGCTGTCTCTTAAGAAAACATGTTCAACAGGCACAACCCAACCGAACTGCGTTGACAGCGAAATGAAATGATCAGTCAGAATTTGATTTAACTTTCCTTCCATTTTGTTCCTCATTATGATTCTCCTCTTCACTCTGAGATCAGCTAATCAGTCACGTCATGCTCCGACTTGTTTTTGCTTCTGTCACAGCTGAAATCGGCAGAACGAAATGTTATCAGAACGATTAAAACACACAGCGACATGCCTTTTTGGCCTTCAAGGGAAGCGCCCTCCTTCTCGGGAACTCTGCGGCATCAACGCCAGCCATTATTACGCCTCAGAGGAGATATTTCATGATCCTCCAGTAGTCGTGAGGTGGAACCAGTCATTGGGGCTTGCTTTAGTTCTACCTGCAGCCAAAATTTTGAGTTTCTCCTGTTTCTGCTAGGATGGTCTTATACACGTCTTTTGTTTTTGCTTTCTTGAGCTAGTTGTGTAAGGAAATGCCAAGCAGACCTCGCAATTTCAGCTCCATTGGCTTTTATTGGTCTGGAGTAGAAACACAGACCCTCTTAGCAAAGAGAGTGCATGTAGAAGCTTCTCTAAAGCGTGCTGTAGCTGTGTGGAGTCGGCTTGTCTCTCCGTGTCAAACTGTGGTTTCACTCAACA